ATCACCTCAGTGCAGGGTATTTACATTTATTCAAGTGTTGTGCAAATCATGGCTTCTAAAAAAACAGAAAGGTGATTTCAATTGAAACAAAGCAAGACATCATCAGGAGTGAAAGTTGACAAAAACTTCCCTGTCAAATGGGGAGAGATTCAGGAGTATACCAACACTCATTATACAAACAAAGCTCAGGCCAACAGGATCAATGATCTCTACAATGACACCCTTTCTGACAGGTGTTAAAGAAGAGAGAGAAACAGACCACCTTGGACATGTTTTTCAAGAAGCAAGCTGCCAAAAAACAAAGGATGGAACAAGAGGAGATGACCCTGCAAGCTCCGGTAGCCTCTCCTGAATCTGACTCCGATTAAAAAACAATAAAAAGAGACCTGCTGCAATGTATAAAAAGTCTGTATCTGTATGAATGTGTGAAGAAAGTATTCCTCCACCTCCTACTCACAACATCTGACTAATTGGTGACTGCTCCATTTTCATTTTTTTTTATGGTATAGTACGGTTATTTTATGCTGCAGAATGAATTATATATTTTAACATGTATTTCTATGGAAAAATGTGCTTCGTATAACAGACTTTTCACTTAACAGACGTGCACCCGGAACGGATTAAGTACGTTATACGAGGCACCACTGTACTTATAAAAGACAGAAAAACAATATGATGAAGGAAAATAATTGAAAGAAAACATTATGGCTGTTTAAAATTGAAAATTAGTAGATAATAAAATATATGTTTAAAAAAGCACCTCATATCATTTTCCAAATAAAATAATGACAAAATTAACATAGTGATATCTCATGCTTTGAACAACCATAACTTTGAATGTTAAATTTTACAAAAATTTGCCTCAGAGTTCAAACTGCACTTGCAGTGAAAAAACAAGCTCAAACATAAAACATAAATGCACTCTGTTGTTTGTCCAGGTCATCTCACGTTACACTCTTATGATTTTAGTGCTTTTTCACTTTATATATAAACAAACACATTAAAAATATTGTGTGTTATTTGTCAATTTTTAACAATTTCTTTCTACAATTTTGCTTTGTCCATAGCATTTAAGCACTTCATATGTTTTGCATCCTTCAGTTCAAAATTTCTTGAACACGACTTCTTGACCACATTTGACATGCTTGAAGTTTAGAAGTATCTTCCCTATACACATTAAGAATTTTCTTTTACTGTTGTACAGTGTTATATCCTTTCTGAAACCCATAAAGCATAATATGCCTGATACGCTTTTTATCTGAAGACATTTCAACTTGATTTTATTCAAATAAAATGTTAAGTAAAAAGTTAAAATAAGCTTCTAAACAAAGAATACAATCTCACGTGTTAAATTTCACAATTATTATAATTAAATCACACATCTATATTAAGTAATGACAGCTGTTAAAAATATGCAAGAATTTTCTGTTCAACCTAATATAACTTTTTCATATTAACTGTGACATCTGAGAAGTGTATGGAAGCAACAAGGTCTAAAACAAGTATCAAGAAATGAAATGAAAAAGGAACTTTTTGCATAGATGAAAGCAGTATACTTGTAGTGGATCTGGTAGCTATTTTAAGATGTCAAAGTAAATGGTGTGTGACCAGTAAATTCAATTTTCATTTATAAATTACATTTATGTTTTACTAAAAATGTTAAATAAATTTTTATTTCTCGTCAATATTTCTATAAGATATCATTTTAAATAAGCTTACAGCTTAATTTCATGAGGTAGAGTATCCTTTTGGAATTGAAGATGGAGTTCAATCTGATATGGAAAGTATACAAAAACAGCATAAAGTTTTCCTCTCTTTTTCGGACCTTTTAGAATTAAATAAGACCAATCTGAAATGAAAAATTGTATTAAGGCAAAGCCTTGTTACAGGTGTATTTTTTCTAATTATACATTAATATACATTTGTTATCTATCAATCGTTTGATATACATCGTCTTCAAAATTGTCAATTATATTACAATAACCGTTGAACAGTAAATTCTGTCATTAGTTATGTTTTAAATATTTTACTTCAAGTTACATAATCAGTAAAAAACAATTATTTAGTTTTATTTATTTACTAGCAGACCCCGCCACGCGTTGTTGTGGCTCAAAATGTATCTATTATGAATGTATAATGCTTCCCCCGTGGGGGTGGGAAATTTTTCGAAAAAATCCCTTAGTGTACATTCTCTCGATGTACCCTATTAAAACGCAATCAAAAACGCAAAAAACCGCATCTAAAATAGTATAAATAGAAGCAGAGTTCTTTACGGCAAGCCTTAATCCTGTCCATCTCCCAGGGGGGAATTGTTGAATAATTGATAACAATATCTGTAATTACAATAAATGTGTATACAATGAAAATATTCATAATAAACACAAATTAAAAACAAACAAAAAAAAAATCTGTTGAGATATAAATTGCTCATATTTCAATTTAACTGACATATTTTATAGCTTTTTAAAAAATTAATAAAATAACTAGTGTAATAAAATCTTTCATATTTCATATAATAAAGCTGTTTACTATAAATATAGTAGAGTTATTTGCTATTAAGCATAAAAAGAAAGAAGAAACTTACCTCTAAGAAAAACCTATAAGAAATCACAAATATACAAAAATAAGTTCATTTAAAAATTAAGTTTTAGTTTAAAACATTTTCAATTTTATTAATACTGATAAGTGATGAAACATTCTAAAATAAATTTTAGTTTAACTAAAGCAATACAGTACAATCTTGGTAATCTATACATTTGTTAGTTCTACACAACCAGTAATTTGACATTAGTCAACTCTCAATTATTACTATAACTGCTGATAATTCCTACTACTTCAAACTCCATTTCCCATTAAACATGACGTCAATTTTTCATGGTTGTTTCAATTTCCACTAAATTTATTGTGAATCCACCAACACCAATTATCAACAACAGCAGCAGCTTGAATGACAAAATGGCAAAAAGACAACTGAAATTTATTTTAAAGGATCAACAATTAATTTCAGAACTCTAAACAACAGTAACATATGATCTATAAATATTTTTGATTAATACAATATACTAATATGCAAATAAACAAATGTTTTCTTTCTTAATGATTAAACAATTGAATTCACCTTATATTATTCTTGTATCCACTTTGGACGTAATCTTGTAATGCAAGACTATGTTAAAATAAATATATTTTAATTGGAAATTGTGTTTTTCTCTTCCCTCAGTATAACAAGTCCTAGTTCACAAGAATGTCCACAGTGGATACAAGTATAATATAAGTAATTAAGGACAAGAAGCATATATCAAAACTGAATTCACCTTATTTCCAATAATCTGACAATCTCCTTAGTCTGATGCTGTTCTGGTCCTACATATGTCAGATTACCAAGATGATACTGTATATGAAAATATTCTTATCTATCATGAGAGATGTTCATATATTTTTAAGAATTTCATTTTACTTCACAACTTGTATAGTTGAAATTAAAGAAATTCAAGTTTTGATGTATTTGCATTTATTTAGATCAAAGTTTTAGTCAGTTCAAATTTAAAATTATTAAAAAATATTATAAATTAGCAGGGTTACCTCTACAACTCATCTTTCAATCGGTTCTACAGTCAAAAACCAAAATCATTCTCACTTATCCAAAAGCTCTTGCCAATCAATTTATTTAAAAAATCAAGAGTTAACTATATACTGCTTATCTAATGAATAATGTTAAGATTGCTTTCAATATTCAACTCACTAAAAACCTTGTTTTAACACCAGCAGGCATTTATGTTTTTGCCTAATTATAGGTCTGCTTCAGGTCTTAAACCTTTTGTTCTATTATGGTGATATGGGTCATTGGAATTATTCATTATAAATATAGGTTGGTATCAGAGTTTGTAGTGCATGTCAGTTTTAATATAATTTTCCTTGAACAAAATGTTTATGTCTAACATGGGTGCTGCATTATTGTTTTACTGATCTAGTTCAAAGAAAGCTCTTTATTGTTATATAAATGTCTACTAGGACATATTTGCAGAAACAGACCAGTACAATAAGTCCTAATAATGTGATATGTCCTAGTAGACATTTATATAATAATAAACTGTATAAAATAAGGACAAAGGCATAGGAATTAGAGCTCTTTATTGTTCATATGATGTAAAAAATTGCCAATGCCTGTTCTTGCTTTCCAGATGATACTGGATCCCAACACTGGAAAGATTTGAGAAAGATCTAATACAGATATATAATAGATGTTTCTCAGATTACTGACTAAATAAATTGCAGAACACAAATACAACATAGAAAAGATGAAGCAAACCTTTGCTCTGTCCATATATACCTCTGAAACAGGAGTGAAACCAAACTTGGAACAAGTTAATCGTTTTGGACACACCATTCACGCAGAGCATGCTAAAGCAATGGAAGCTCTGAAAATTTACAAAGCACGATTGAGAGGGGAATGCCTCATTTGTAAGAAGGAGGGAAAAATTTCATGATGATCCAAATGGGAACCAAGAAAATGAATCTTATTAAGAAAACATATATGTACTGTACAGTACAACCTATGTAAATTTGTATAACATTGATTTAAATATGTAAATATTTATACTAAGAACAGTGAACATAATTTTGGATTTCACCATAATTCATTCCAAAGTCTGAAATACTATATTGCTCTTCCCCAGATTCCAAAATAGAACAAAAGGTTTAAGACCTGAAGCATACTTATAATTAATTCTTTTTCCCTCTATGTCCTTACTTTTATTGATTTCAAACTCCTCTCAAAGTTCTCCTCTCTTTGCTATACAGAAACTACACCAATGTAATAAGTTCTATTAATAAACAAAGTCCAAAGTAGACCAGGATAAAAATAGACCTGTAATTAAGTTGAAAATATTTGTCCACTCCACATATACATGAATGATGATAAATGCCTTGCTAGTGTTAAAATAAGGTTTTCAATGAGTTGATCAAACAATCCACCTTGTAGAAAAAACCAAGTATTTGGTTGAAAGTATACTATCTTTTTCTGTCAATAGGCTATTAATTATAAGAAACTAAAAATTAACATTAGCAAAAGTCACAAATTAAAACTGATCAATAATACCTATAGTTAAAATTCACCATTTTTTCTCTTGATCTTAATTAAATGAAATTTATTATAACAACAAATCTATATTTTATAATTAAATATATACAAAATAAATATTTTTATAATTAAATCTTATATGTAAAATAAATTTGAACTAGAAAAATATTTATTTTACCCTTATCTCTTAAACCATGTTACATGTTCTTAATACTTTTCAAAAGTTAAATATTACAATATCTTAATATGATTTAGAAAGCAATGAATATCATTGTTGTTAAATATATATAATTAGAACTATATAAAAAAGAAAAAGATAAAAA